TAGCAAACTGCTTCGACAATTCTTACTTCAAGTGTAAAATCTCTTGCATGTCCGAGCCTGCAACGAGCATGTCATCAACGTACAACAATAAAATAATGAAGCTGTTGTTGAACCTCTTGATGTAGCAACAATGATCTGCTTGGCATCTGGTAAAACCACTGCTACTCATGAAGCTATCGAACTTCTTGTACTACTGTTTAGGAGCTTGTTTTAAACCATACAAGCTCTTCTTCAACCTGCATACCAGGTTTTTCTTGCCTGCCTCTATGAAGCCTTCTAGCTGCCTCATATAGATTTCTTCCTCCAAATCACCATGAAGGAAAGCTGTATTTAAATCTAACTGCTCAAGATGTAAATTCTCTGCAGCTACAATTTTCAACACCAGTCTAATTGTAGACAGTTTTACGACTGGAGAGAAAATTTTATTGTAGTCAATACCTTCTTTTTGCTGAAAGCTTTTGACAATCAATCTTGCTTTGTAGCGTTTGCTCCCATCGTGCTCTTCTTTGATCTTGTAAATCCACTTTTTGTGGAATGATTTCTTGTCTGGTGGTAATTTAGCTAATTTCCATGTCTGATTTGATATGAGCGAGTCCATCTCATCTTTCATGGAAGACTCCCACTTGATTGAATCCTCTACCTGCATTGCTTCATCATAACACTCTAGTTCACCATTGTCAGTCAACAACAAGTAGTGCAAAGAAGGAGAATAACGCTGGGTTGGTTTAGGAATTCTGGATGAGCGTCTTAGTTCTGGTGTGCTTGGTTCTTCTTGAACTGCTTCAGGACTAATCTGAATATCATTTTCAGAAATCTCCTCGAACTCAACAAATTCATTTGTTTCAGCTTCGGTATTTGAGCTACTTGATTATATGGTTGACCTGTCTTTGTACATCACATTCTCATTGAAAATGACATCTCTGCTTCTGATGATCTTCTGATTTTCGTAGTCCCAAAACCGGTAACCGAACTCATCACCACCATAACCAACAAAGACACATTTGTTGGACTTGGCATCAAGTTTACTTCTTTCAGCAGAGTTTATGTGTACATAAGAAATACAACCAAACACTCTTAAGTGTGAAAGGTTTATTTTTTTCTTGCTCCAAAATTCCTCTGGTATTCCACCATCCAAGGGAACTGAGGACCCACGGTTGATCAGGTAAGTTGCAGTATTGATAGCTTCAGCCCATAGCATTTTGAGCAAATCGACATGTATCCTCATACTTCTGGCACGTTCATTCAGAGTTCTGTTCATCCGCTCAGCTACGCAATTCTGTTGTGGTGTCATGGGAACTGTTGTCTCCATCTTGATCTCATTGTTTGCGCAAAATTCTCTGAATCTTCTATTTTTGTACTCTCCTCCATTGTCAGACCTCATCCGCTTGACTTTCAAACCAGTCTCATTTTCCACCATGGCTTTCTATTTTCTGAAGGTATCAAAGACTTCTGATTTCTTCTTCAGAAAATAAACTCACATCTTCCTTGTTGAATCATCGATGAAGGTGACATAATATAATGAGCCTACAAGAGATGGAACTGGAGATGGTCCCCATACATCAGTATGAACCAACTCTAACTTTTCTACCTTGGGTGTCTTACCAATCTTTGCAAAGCTGACTTTTTTTTGTTTGCCAAAGATGCAATCCTCGCATAGTCTGACATCTACATTCTTTAGATCTGGCAGCTTTCCTTTTGACAAAAATGTCTTCATCTCTTTCTCACTCAATTGACCAAGCCTTTGGTGCCATAGGTTTGATTTTCCATCAGCATCTGCTGCAGCAATGATATTTTCTAAGTTTGAGGTTACATAGAGAGTATCAGACTTCTTACCACGAACAATGACGAGTGCTCATTTGGTAATCTTTCATTCACAACCTGAAAATGTTGTACTATAACCTTCTCTATCAAGCTGTCCTACAGAAATCAGATTTATTTTTAGGTAAGGAATATGTCTCACTCCTGTCAGCTTCTAGGTGGTCTGGTTTGATAGCTTTAGTCGGATGTCTCCTTTTCCGACGATCTTCAAGGTTTCATCATCAACTAGATGAACCCTCCCAAAATCACCACTGACATAGTTCTCCATGATTTCTTGGCATGGGGTGGAGTGGAAAGATGTCCCTGAATCTAAGATCCATGATTCAATGGGACTGTTGACGCTTAGAATCATGGCATCACCTGTCTTTTCTGCCATGTTGGCAGATTCCTGTGCGCCGGTATTTTTCTTCGGTGCTCGGCAATCTCTTTTAAAGTGACCCTTCTTGCCACAATTATAACAAGTAAAATTTTTCTTTCCCGTTCTGGATTTTTCCCGTGTGGATTTCAATCTGCCACGATTTGAATTTCTTTCTGAAGTTCTCCCTCTGGACTCCGTGTGCAAGACTAAGGAGATTGATGCTTCACCCGATTCTCTCCGTCGAATTTCTTCACTCAATACCAAATCTCGTACATTGTCGAATTTTAATTTATTGTTTCCCGACGAGCTGCTGACTGCTGTAACAGTAGCATTCTAACTGTCTGGTAGAGATGATACGAGAATTAAAGCTCGAACTTCATCATCGAATTCAATTTCTACTGAACTCAACTATTTTGTGATTGTGTTGAGTTCATTTAGGTGTTGAGCCACTGATCCCCTTTCGCCATCCGCAAATTGAATAATCGCCTCATCAAGTGAACTTTGTTGGAGGCTGATGGCTTCTCATACATACTAGAGAGAGTCGCCATAAGACCCGCCTTAGTATTTTCCTTTACTATGTTGAAAGCAACATTGCGGGACAACGTCAGTCGGATAACTCCGAGAGCTTGTCTGTTGAGAAAAGCTCAGTCTTCATTCTTCATGCCCTCAGGTTGCTTTCCTGAGAGAGATTGATATAGATTTTTCTGGTACAGAAAATCTCCAATCTGCATCTTCCAAAAGCCAAAGTCCGCACCATCGAACTTTTCAATTTTCACCTTCCCTTCGTCTGCAGTCATCGCTCCCACTCGAATCTGGCTTCTTTGGATCGTTTTTGATCATTTGTGCGAACCACCGTGTATTATAACACCTCCGTCGAAAAATTCGTATCGCTGACAAAATTTCACTATTCACATAATTTACTATTCACGTGAATAGTAATAAATAGTAACCTCACAAAAAATTGATAAAATTCACAACCAAAAGCTCTGATTACCAGTTGGAAAAATAAATCCGAGTACAAGTAATTTTCCTATAACTAGATTAGTGAGAATGCGAAATAAAAACGAAAAAATAATACTCGAAATTGATAACGGAGTTCAGCTAATTGTGACTACGTCTCCGGACTGCTGCAGATCTTTTACTAAGAGAGAAAATTTACAAGTGTTTACAAAACACTCACTACTCACAAGAAAGCTCTCTAGTATTGGGAGAAAGAAATGATTTTTGGGATAATTTTGAAACTAAATGAATTAGATATTTATAGTTGAAGCTTAGGGACTAATTTTTAAAAATACCCTAAAATGCAATGATTAAAATTACATTATCCCCGTTTTTATTTCAAACAAATGGCTGCCTAATTTTAATTAACCGCCCATGTTGATTCCAGCCGCCCATGCTTCCTTTCAACAATATTGATTGTTGAATATTCAACAGTTATCTCAATACCACGCCTTTTTGAGGCTGCCCTAATTCTTGGGTCTGCCAAGTTTCCCTTCACAATAACAAAACAATTTATTAATTTTCTTTCGTTTTTAGAAAAATTATATTTTTTTCTCTTCACCACAAGCCATCGGTTGCTTCGAATCAAAAGATTGAAAGGATAATGAAAAAAGGTTTATGATCTTATCAGTCACATTGCTCGGAATACTAGAAGAAATAAATCTTTATCCTTTAAATTATTTGGTATCACAGGAAGCTCCGATCTTAACTCATACTCGTTCTATTACCCAAATCATGAACCAAAAACAAGTAAACATTTTGCCACACAAAAGTGTAAAATCTCAGTCCAAAAATACCCTTTTTAGCACTTTTGAAGTGGGATATGTATATACCTCATGGTAATTACTGGTGCCAGCAGAGTCGATGTTAAACTTGGAGTCGAGGCCTTTCTTTTACACAATATCTCTAAAGACATCTTCAGCAGCTGGACTCCGGCAGATGTTGCCTATTCAAACAAAAAGAACAGAGAAAGGCTTCGTCTCTGTGGCTGCCCCTGTTGATGGTGCTGAAGATGCCATTGATGCTCTCACCAGAGGTCTAAAAGCAGGAGAATTGGTGGGTTTTTGGAGGGGATATGGGGGTGATTTTGGATTTTGGAGAGATGGGTGTTTGGTTGAATGAAAGAGAGGAATGAAGGGTGAGGTGTTGGAAGAAAGGAAATGGGAGTGGTAGCAAAATGGTAAATATGGACGAGTTGCTGATGATGGCAATCTAGTTGTGGTATTGTTCAGATATGGTGGCCTCGTAAAGCCTGCAAATGTGGAGATGTTGGAAGCAGGCAAACATGCCTTTGGTGCAAAAACCGGATTGGATTGGATGTAGAGAAAAAGGGGGTCGGGATGGGACAGTGTTAAAAACTTAAAAAGTATATTCTTTAAGATGGATAAAAAACATTAAGAAACATGAGGCTTGTAATGGATTTGGACTTTCAGAAATGGGTTGGGTTAGTGGCTTAATGACCTTCAATCTTCACTGTACAGTACTATATGTCTGTCTGTGCGTGTATATATTCTCAATCTCAAAACCAAGAATTAGATTTCATCTTTCAGATGCACCACAAGTCTGGATCACCTTGGTCAAATAAAGGAAAAATATTTGCTTTAGAGTTTAGAGCACTGTCTAACGTGGTTGACGATGAAGCATTTTGGTTTCTGTAAGAGAATCGAATATTAAAATTACAGAAGCATAGAACAAAATCAACGACATGCTATAATAAAACTACAGAACCTAATAATTGAAAGAGGCTACCATGCTAATAAATTGCGAACTTGGATGATTACTGTACTTTTTTAAGACAACTAGCTCTAGTGTTGGTGTGTGTGTATCATAGTAATAACTTGTCACCATTTTTCTGAATTCGATTTACAGTGTGAGAGTGTATATATATGTATATTAAGATACACCGGAATAAGAAAACTCACTGTTAAAAAGAGAAGCCAGATAAGAGCTTCCTTTTCTCACATCAGATAAGCCCTATCTAAAACATATCAAACTCTATACGGTCTTCGGTGCCCTGCAATTCATCACCTTTGGAGCTATCTTTTTTCTGCAAAGCTGGGGCTGGCACACAGATGCCAGTTTCACAGACCCTTGGCATCTCAGGTGGTATTGCGCAACGTATCAGAGCCCAATTTATGCCTTCAAAGAAAGGGTGTTGTTTGATCTCTGCAGCTCCTTTCACTGATCCTAACCGGTTCTCAGGCTCCTTAACTAAAAGCCCTCGTATCAGATCTCTTGCATGAAAACTAACTATAGGGCTGCTTGGAAACCTAAGGCTACGAGACACCACATTGGATAGTGTTTCATCGTTTCCCGAACCCTTGAAGGGCGTTTTTCCGTACAAAAGCTCAAACAAGAAGATTCCGAATGTCCACCAATCAACAGCATTTCCATGACCTTCACCTTTGATGATTTCTGGAGCAAGGTATTCAAGTGTTCCAACAAATGAGTTTGACCGGGCACTGGTTGGCTCCACTACAAGCTGTGGCATGGGGTTAATCTGAGTAGCTAGATCAGATTTTATCCTCCTTGATTTGGAAGAAAGAGATAGAAGCCTAGGAGTGAAACATGGTACTTGAAAGGATGGATTGATGCAGAAAGGCTCAATACAGCTTGACTCAGAGCATGGACTTGACGTCTTCTCTGCAGGCCCAGCAACGGAGGAAGTGGATTTAAGAACCACTGGACTAGCATCACATCTGAGTGACAAGTCAAAATCCGTGAGCATAATGTGACCGTCTTCTCTAACCAAGATATTTTCTGGTTTTAGATCTCGATATACAACACCAAACATGTGTAGGTACTCCAATGCAAGGAGGACTTCGGCACCATAAAACCTGCATAAATGAAAAGAAAATGTAGCAAAAAGAACATCAGAAAACCAGGGCAACAAGAAACAGTGGATGAACCAGGTCCATAATAATGTTAATTCAAATCTAATTATAACAATCTTAATTATTATAAAACCTCGTATATCTGGTGTTATGAATTTGACTTTAAGCTCCATCACTTGTATGCTCTTGTGAGGATTACCAAAACCAAATGCACGGCATCCACATGAACGCAAACAATATAAAGGATTCTTTATTTAAGAATTCAAAATCAGATTTGCTCCCTGTAATTTTCAAATTAAAATCTGTGGAAATTTTCAATCCTGTTCTGAGTTAATATTACCAACAACTAAGTGATACAAAAAAATGAGAAACAAAATGCTTGGATCTTTCACACACAAAAGCGGGACAGCATTTTCTCTTCCCTATTTTCTTTTATGCCCTACTGGTTGTGCATAATCAGAAACAGATAAAATTAAGAACAATGTACAATGAATTGAACACTAAAGATTCCTGTCAGCACAAACTAGAAGCATATTCCAACATCATTGAAGAGATACATGTTACCTTACTGATTGTTCATAGAAACTCCTGCCAGGTTGCTTCTGTCGTAACACGTGCAAATCACCACCTGGACAATACTCCATAACCAAGCAAGAAAGTTGTTCTGTTGCAAAGTAGGCATATAGTGTGGGGAGAAAAGGATGATCCAGCATTTGCATAATCTCCTTTTCTGTTTGTGCCCTAGGAATCTTCTTGTGGCTCAACAAAAATTCATTGTTCATCACTTTCAAAGCAAATAAGCAGTTTGTATCAGTTAGCTCAGCAAGATAAATAGTCCCAATGTCCCCGCACCCCAGCTTCTTGAGAAGCTTGAAGTGATTCAAACTCAAGCTTCCATGCTGCTTCCGGACGGAGCAAATAGCTTCCCACCTCAAACTTTTTGACATGTGAGGTCTGCTACCAATCTGACTAGAATCATTGATATTGCTTTCTTCACTAGTGATTGTGCTACTACTACACTCCCCAATGCTACTTTTCGAGCTTTGGGAAAATTCTCCCTTTTCCCTTGATCTTGATCTGTCATCAGCTTCGATCAACGATGGTCTGGATTTGTTGCTACAGTTTGAACTCGAAATCAATTTGAAACTTGTACTCACCATGCTTGAGCTAACTTCAATACTGCAACTTGTACTGCTGGAAACTTGAGAAACTTTCATATTTTCCTTTCTTCCATAGCCTGAAGGCTTTTCTATTTGGCCATCTGAATAACTAGTACTAGGACTGAGATCATTGCTGAAACAAACATTACAGGAATTCGAACTGCTGCTAGTGGTAGTTGACTCCTCTTTTGCTTTCTTCCTCAAAAAGCTTTTGTTCCTCAAGACTGGCTTGATTAGTCGCGGTTTTTCAGAAACAGACTTCACCTTACCAGAAGCACTAGAAACAGAAGGAGAAGAAGATTCAGCAAGCAGCTTTACCTTTGGCTCCTTATCTGGCAAAGGAGTTCGAACACAAATTGGGATAGAGGAAAAACCAATTTCCATGGCTTCCTCATCAGCATGATTAACAGTGGAAGAACCAATAGAATTGAGCCTTTTAAGTTCTGCTTCTGAAACTTCATTTTTAGACTCCATGACCAAATGAGCAATCCGATCTGCAGCCGGAAATCTAGTGGTTGCTTTTTCTGTTGTTGCATTATCTGAAGGGCTTGAATCTTGGTTTAAAACCTCCTTGTTTGACACTTGCAAAGATTCAGGAATCTGTTCCAAAGAACAGGATGTGATCTTTTCAGGAACAAGTGAGATTTCCACTAAATTCCCTTTACCTTCATTAAGGGGAACTCCAGATCCATTTTCTTCAACTACAACAGCCCTGTACAACCTTCTTATAGTTCCTGCTTCCGAGACCCCTGATGAACCTACTGGTTTTGATAACCACTTCTTCATGGCAGCCATCTCTGATGCCTGAGAGATAGACAATCCTCTAAGTGCCTGCTTCAAACTCACAGATTCAGAAATTCCAATTCCTGAAGCATGAGAAGGACCAACTCTAACTGGTCTTTTCATTGCACGCTTCCATAAAGCATCTCTACCAATTTCCCTTGAGAAACCTGAAACCCTAGATGATGTCCTAATGTTGACTGCTTCAAACAGACGGTTAATGTCATCCTCAATTGAATACTTATTTCCTGATTTTCGCATATAGTAGCTCTTACCAGGTTCTCCCGTTTTCAATTCAGCATCTATTTCATCAGTTGATTCAACAATTTCAGAAGTACTAGGCCCTACATTCATTTTTTCTAAAATTCAACTCAAAGACTATACAACAAGAAATCAGGGGAACTATATAATCTGCAAACTTAAACTAACCTATTTCTGAAGAAGTATCGGTATCTCAAAGGATGAGTAGAACTGAGCAATAAAACAACCTCACTTATCCCTGAAGAGAACACTGGATCATAATGGTTCTCGGGTTTATATAGCCAATCGAAACCCCACTTTTTAATTACAAAACATGGTATTCAAATTCCAGAATGTATCACAAAGCTTGAGAGAAATAGAAGACATAGATAAAATAAAATAACCGATCATTTTAGTATAACGATCCTGCAAAATTCCATGAAAGGGCGTGAGTAATTAATCAGAAAGCAACTACAAGTTTATCAAATAAATTGCCATAATACTACAGGATTCCTTTTCCCAACCTTCATTTTCGAAATTAAGGAAGCTTAAGGCTGCCGAAATCCTAAGACACGATAAAGCTATCAGCCTATCAGCTATACAACAACCGACTTGAAGACTAAAGGCCTATTTATTACAAGCTTCGAAATCCCAAACCCATATCAGGGCTTTTGGATTAAAGAAAACAACCAACCACCATGTGCGAACAACAAATTTTCACACCTAAAAGGAGCATAAAAGGTTAAGCTTTCAAATCCAAAAAACATAGCATTAAAGAATCAAATAACTTTACCTATCAAAAACTGGAGGGAGCAGTAAGAAAAAGGATATAACACTCTCGCAAGTACATATACATTTTTCATGGAAGAAAAATTTGAACCAAAAAAAAAGTAAAACTTGGCAAGAGTTAAAACTCGAAAAACCCAAAATAGATAAAAAGAAAAAGAAAATTATCAAAGGGGTACCTATGAAACTGAGAAATACGTGTAACCCGGAGAAGGGTTGCCTTTGAAGATGCCGGACAAGAAAAGAATGAAAGGCCGAAAATTTGGGCAACTAGAGAAAGGGAAAGAGACTAATTAGGTTTGGGACAAAAGGAGGGAAAAAGAGAGAGGAAAAGAAAATTGTTAATTGAACGAATGAAGTAACAGAAAAGGGGAAAAAGGAATGCAAAGGTAAGAAATGCAACTCACGAGAAGTTTCACCTTGTTCACTCACTACTTTTTTTTGTGAACTCTGTAATGGATGAAAATTAAATGTGTTACTGGTCTCTTTAGGACCTTGCTGGTCCGTGGTGCTTGCGCCTAAAAGATCCGACATGGTTCGAGGGCCGGTGAAGAAACCAAACTATGAAAATTAAATGTGTTGTGATAAATAAAATAAAATAACACTTTAATTTACAAAATATTTTTTCATGATTCATAGTTTTTTAATTCTATTTTTCGATACAATATCCCATTATTTAACCCCATATTTTCCTCTTACAAAACAAAAATAATGAACAATTATGGTGAAAATGGAAAATAGTGACTGAGATTCTCATTGTACAACAAACTAAGAAGAAAACAAAAAACAAAAGAACATTTGTGCATGGAATCCGAAATGTAGGAGCATATATGTCATTTGCTCTTGGATTCAGAAGATGTAATACCATTGCCCACAAATAGACAAGAACCACATAAATATGCAAAATCAATCCAACTCCCATTCTGTGCATTTCTTTTCAACGACGGATAATCAAAGCTTCTAATTTTTGTTTCCTACTAAAGTGTTGGTTTATATAACGTTGGTAATATAGATAAAGTTACATCTCATGTTATTAAAATTAGGGGTATGCAAATCCGGGTAACCGGTTTTTCGGGTACTCAATTACAAGGTACTCGCAACATTCGGGTAGGTGATTTCTCGACCCGTGTCCCGACCCGGATGTTGTAGGTACCCGGATTTTGCAGCTACCCGTATTTCGAGTATCCATTACCCAATTTTTTTTCATCTTCAAATTATTAATTTAAAAATATATATATACACAAATTTAAATATTCGAAATTTCAAATTACATACTCTAACATCTGAACATAAAATTTAAAAGTTCAAAATACTCTAACATTCGAAATTTAGTTATATATATATATATATATATAACTAACAGGATACTCGGGTAACCGGTACCTGAAAAACTTCAATTTTGTGACCTAGGTCCAACCCGGGAAATGTCGGGTCGAGAATTTTTTTTTAGAAAATTACCTAATTTTTTAGGTCCGGATTGGCGGGTCGGGTCAACCAGGTGAGGTAGTTTTTTACACCCCTAATTAAAATGTTTACATAAATTTTTTAATATAATAATTTGATTTTTTTTACAAAAAAAAGTTTAACCAAGGTCAATCGATTATCTATAAAAAAGAAATACAATCTTAACGTTAAATGTTATTTGATAAACCCTTCTAAGTTATTTTTACAGCTTTGATCACACAATTTTTTTAAATTTAATGGTGAATTGATGGGATAAACTGATAGAAAGAATGTTTGTACAAGGAAAATGGGAAACCATGTATGGGAACTGGCCAGAGTTTAGGTGAACTTCATGGGAAAACATATATTTGATGACACTATTTAGTAACGACATATCATTTTTTTTTACTTTAAATACTCTTACATTCTTACCTATTTTAAAATTGAGACAGAATCGTTAATTTTCAACTACGAATTCCAAAGAAAACTCAAACATAAATGGAGATGAAAGAACAATGTCCAACCAGAGTAACAAACATACTAAACCATGTACCCCTTAAAATAAAAGAAACTGCATAAGAGAAGCCTTAATAATTGCACTACTGGCTTAATCGAAGAGGCTGAAACCCATATCCTGTATCAAGATTCAAAAAGGAACCTATGTTAGTCAAGAACACAAGAATAAGGAAGTCAAATACTAGAAGTAGATTTGTGAGTAAAACAATCATTACATCATCGGACTCTTCCTTCTCTTCGACCTTCTCCTCTTTCTTGGCCTCGGCAGCCGGTGCAGCACCGCCGCCAACACCACCAGATGTAGGAGCAGCGACAGCAGCAGCACCTCCACCTGAAGGAACCGAAGCCAACTTCTCCCTTCCAGATGCAATTAGCTCGGTGATATCTTTGCCTTTGACTTGGGACAATAGCAACTCTACCCTACCATCATCAGCCTCAGCTCCAACTACAGCATACATAATAAAAGAAAAAGTAAGTCATTCCTGCCTGAATGACTCTGAAGCATATAAGCATATTGAATCTTACCAAATTTATACGCATTTATTCTTACAATTTATAGCAAATGAAATCCCAATCCAATTTCAAAATTCATGTTTCAAAATAATTCTACTAGACGTTAGTTCCAGTTCCTTGAATCTCATTACAGCTTAAATACTTCCCCAGAAGCATTATGCTAATGCTTACCATTTGCAATTACTATTAACCAGATATAATGAAGAACAAAAATTCGATATGTAGATTTGACTAAATTCAATTAAAATCCAATGAACGCATTAGAATAACCACTGACAAATCATAGATGAATTAAGCATAGATCAACGAAGTGACTATCATTACATCAAAGATAAGAGTTACAAATATAGTAAATCGAGATAACAAGAGAGTGAGAAAAAGACCAGATCCGAGAATATCCTTCAGATCACCGGCAGAAGGGGAAAGGTTCCCTCCCAAGACGGCAAGCAAGTAGGCTGCGATCACCTTCATTATCTACTCAACCAAGAAAACCTTAGAGCCACTAGGGAAAAAGGAGACGTGGGGAAAGAACGCTAGGGTTTTCAAAGAAGAAAAATGAAGATATATTATAAAGGCCGATGTTGCTAGGGTTTTTGCTTTTGTCGATGTCAATCTAATTTCAATCGTGACCGTTCATTTCAAATTAGTAATTTTTTTTCTATCAAGGAAAATGCCCAAAGTCAAAGGCACAAAAGGCCCTAAATAGAAAAATGGGTCGAAGCCCATAAATCAAGACCATTCGGTTCTTTTAGTTTCACAAAAGAAAAGCGCAGGAAAACGCCATTTCCCTTGAGCTTTGACTGCCTGAGATTCCCCCCCCCCCTTTTGAAGGTAGAAAACTTCTATTGAAATAATAATAAAAAATAGACCCTTTTTTTTTACTTACCAACTAGTAATATGTTACTTGAGAAATCGAAAACACCACCGGCGGAGATAACCAATGGCAGGACTGGCGAGACCTTCGGAGATCGAATATGCATATGAAATGAAATGTATCATGCAAGTATCATAAAGTTCAATGTTCTTTCTATAAATTAATAGAGTGTGAAATACAATTGATGGATTAAACAAATAATAATGGATAAGAAAGTTGGATGCTGGCATCATACCTAATAGTTTTAGACAAACAAGAGATGTATAACATCAAAATCTCTTATACCACAAACATGTCATTTCATATGAATTTTATATCTTAGACATGAAGAATAGCATCATCAACATGATATAACCATTTAAGCATGCTATGCTATGACATGATTGAAATGAATCTCATGCACGCCTGTACTCATCTCCACAATCCCCTATCACTCTAAGCAGATCTTTCCCTCTTCTTGAAACTTCTAGTATGCTGCTCACATCTTCCTCGTCAAGAACAAGTGAAAATATGGCATTTGTGTCTTGGATATGTTCTGATAAACCAAGTCTAACAACTACCATTGATCCTGCTACTGCTGTCTGTCAAGTAAATCGAGAAGAAACCCCATTACGTTTCAATGCATCATACTCAACAATCCTTAAATAAACAAATAACTTGTAATTAACAACCTGATCTAGTATGTATTTAACAGCAACAGTTGGGATTGAGACTCCATGCTTAGATGCTACTTTTTTTAGAGTCTGAAGTAACGTTTGGAATAAGCTCCATCCTCCCCAAGCATCAACCATCTGCCATGTTCATATTGATATATTAAAATACCACAAAAAAGAGGTAAAATTATATATATATATATATGTATGTATGTATGTATGTATTTATGTATGTGTGTTCAACCATTTAAGGATTTTCTTTCACAAGTTTTCACAACTTGTTGAATTCGTTTTATACTCCATAATTTTAGGTTTTAGGTGTTTCTAGGCAGATTCCTAATTTGTAAATGGGTTTACAACATTCCACAATTTCTAATTCGGTGCAGTTGCATTGAGTCTCAGATTGAGAAATTCAATATAGAATATAGAACGCAAATATATGCCAAAAAAGTTTGTACCCTTTTGTACTTCTGGAGAGAGGGGGTATTTAAAGGAGGGCCGGCAAAGGGAATTGACAAGTGTGTGTCAAGGAACTTCTCAGATAATAGACCACCCATTACCGTTCCATACCTGCATTTAAATTCTCATCAATTTTGCTATTAAGCAGAGCACTGCCTAGTCATCTAATAGAGAGAAATAAACATAAAATTACACTGCGCAAGATATTTGGTCATCATCTAAGAAAGCCATATTCATTACTTCTCATTGGAATTTTTGAGAACACATCATCTATTTTGAGAACATTATCCACAATGCCTGAGCTAAAAGTTGACAAGATGTGTTTTTGGGGTAGCGTGTGGACACCCCCTATATATATATATATAGAGAGAGAGAGAGACGTTATCAGTTTGACGCCTGTAAGCTGACAAAGCTCTGCCATTTTTTGCTGAGGGCGCATGTCAACAATTGAATGTTGCACCTGATGATGCATCATTGGCAATGCCACAAACATAAATTAGCCAAGATAAGAGATACAACTAAAACCTGATAACTTGTTGAAAACAAATAAATACCTGATTACTAACAACAGGAATTCCATTCTCTAGTATTATTTGCAGCCTTTCCGTATCAAAATTTGTCAAAGCAACAGTTCTAATTTTACCTGCACATTGATCACAGAAGCATTTTGATTAAACATAAAACTGAGAATTGCAGGCTATCCAAAACCAAAGCTAAAATAGTGGAGAATGAATTCCAACCTTATCTTTCAGGTAAGTGAGATGTTTTAGTGCATCAAGGTAGCCAGGATTGGAATAATCCCACCTGTTCCAAATAGATGCAAAGAAATACTATGTAACAAGGAAATTAATGAAATTAAAAGTAAGTCAATCCATTAATGAAATTCAAAAAATCCCATCTTGTCTAGCATACACCTAAACCTAACAAGGTAGTCATATTCTGTTGAGTCTCCTTATCCAATGGATATAAAAAATCTTCGAGACTCAACACAGGGTTTATTGATCTTGAAGCTTCATTAACACAATTAAGAACTGAAGACTGAAGTGATAAATTAAACAAACATCATTAGAATGCAATATATACTACATATGAGTACATAGAGTAAATTTGCATCATTGCATCGAGTTTAATGGGAGGTCTCAAATTTATAGATAATTGTTCTAAGCGGACAGAAAGTGTGACATATGCTTATTAGTACCAGTGAAACTGAAGCATATCCAATGAAGGCACATCCATCCTCTTTCGTGATACATCAATGTTCTCCCTGACATAGCTACTTGTTATCTTTACTGGTGGTGGCACCCATTTAGTGAAACTGCATGAATAATACAACAGAGTAAACTTGACCATTGTGGATAACTAAGTCTGAAACTTGACCATTCTAAGAATTAAATATTCAACGATATCAATATTCAAAGGAATAAATAAATACAGAAACTTCTAAGCATCGATACATTTAGTTCGCCCAATTTAAGGTCATTACATGGGGGACAAACAATAACTAAAGACAGAAAATATTAGGCTTCATTATTTACAGTTGATGATTATCTAGGAGATCAGCACACCTGGAAATGTTTCTAAATGGTATCTTTAGCATGTTCATTCATTAATGAAGCTTATAAACAAAAGATCAGACATATATATATACATACATATATTACTTTGTTTGTACTTGCAAAGATCAGACAGAGGGGCCTCAAGACACGATGGTTCAGAAAACAAATCCAGAAAGGGATTACTGAAATGAAAGGTCAGGATAGTTCAGCAAGGCCTAAGATGATAACCAGCTTGATTGGATTTGAACTTACACTTTCTGTGTGGTTTATTTTCATTATATTAGTAAAGAAATGCATTTTCCTTATCATGTCCATACAAATTTTATGTAATGCTTACCTCAAAAAAATATAATGTAACTGTCATGTGAACTAAAGTTGAGTTTAAACCTGGACAATAACCTGCAACTTGTTCCGGGTGCGAGCTTCTTCTGGTTGTTATCTCAACATCCAGAAGTTCAGTCGGCCATTTGAGAAGAGTTCGAAAGGGTCGTGGGATCGAGCGATGACCACCACCAACAACTTCCTTCTTTCGATCAACTGCGAGACATGCATTATTTACACGCGGCAGTGTGTGAAAGTTTAAGACTGTTTCCACCGATTCAATTCGACTCAAAGTTTGCTCTTGAAGACGACATTTTGCCTGACTGTACCTTTGTGAAAAAGGGGACAAGAGTGACTTATCATCCATATGCAATGGGTCGGATGGAGAGGGTTTGGGGCCCCGATTGTCTCAAATACAACCCGGAAAGATGGTTGGAAAATGGCATATATGTCCCTCAAAACCTGTTCAAGTACCCAGTTTTCCAAGCTGGGAAAAAGGGTTTGGCTAGGCAAGGAAATGGCTTCTCTATAATCAGCCGATTCAACATCAGGCTGCTCTATCCAAATAAAACACCAAGGTTCATCCCTGGTCTCACCGCCAACGTCAGAGGCGGCTTACCTTTTCAACTCCAACAAAAGGAAAAGATCCACGCAGACTAGTCAATGTATTTCCATTTATTCTACTCACACAAGCTTTCCATACTATCACACCGTAAATATTATTTTTCACCTATATAAAGGGAAATAAAAATATCATCAATCAAAATAATGTTATACTAAAACATACTCTCTTCTCTTTTATTTCTCTACGTAATCCTTTCTTAGGTTTTTTTGTTATTAATGACAAATATAATTTTAGACTAATCATCCATTGTTGTTGTTTCTTTATCTCCTTTATAATTTAAATTATGATTTTTTTATTTTGTAATAATAAATGATTTTATTTACTTTTATAATATTTTCTTTGTCTATTCTCATACATGAATGGACACATAATTTTACTTTGAATACGAATTTATAAAATTTTTGAAAAACATAAATAATTAATGAATTGAAAATATAAAAAATTAAAATCATATAAAAAATTAAAATTATCACAAGGATAACCCGTTAGTCTCCATCAATTCATCTATGTTCCCATAGTATCTTTTTTTCCCCTCTTATCTCAATGTTAGATTCAACCCATCTCTCCATATAATATTTATTTGGTTATTTTATTAATTTATCATTGTTTCATATGCTCAAATTGAATATTTTACAATCATCAAATATAGACTAAGATTAAATTATATTAAGGACAGACTAGACCAAACACACATAAATTAAATAGTATATCTTACCCTAATGTTAGATTACGAGAAGAGAAAGTTAATAAATGCAATATAAAAATATTTTACGAAGATATTATAAATTTTTCTGCATTGAATATTTAAATATAATATACTAAAACGGGAACTGTTCAGGTTTCAATAATGGGTCGTACCATATGGCATATACATTATAATGTAGAGGAAATAGTTCATATATTATATAACAAAATCTCACATGATCGTATCATAAGGGGCTGGCGACGGCGAAGATGGTAGGCCGCCGCCCGTTATTTGATTTTTTTTTCCTTTGGAAAAAAAGTGCTAACATGCAAAATTTTTTAAATATATTTAATTATTTATATTTATATTATAAAATTATTGAACAAGTTTGATGTGATTCGGCTTAATAATACTAACTCAAAAAATAATAAGTAATCAATATGTATTAAGATTATATTAATATATTAAACTTTTTAGTGAAAATGTTAAAATAAGTACAAAATTAAAAGTGTTTTCACTTTTTCATTTAAAATCATTACTAATTATTGAAAATTTGAAATCCATTGGTTACCAAATCATCAATAATACTTATATTGTCCTACCTTGAGTTTGAATTCTAATATTTATCTTAAAAATATAATATCTCTTCACTTATTAAAAAATCATTATCGATTATTCACCTTTTTCCGGGAAAACCTACGCAACTTTAAATTAGGAAAATAAATTATCGTTTTGAATTGTAAAAATAAAAAAATATCAATGTCTATAATGTATTTTTCAAAGAAAAAAAGGGTTTTTTTCACAAAAATTTGTTGGTGCTTTAAAATCTAATTTTATATTTTAAAAAATTTATAGAAATGTCTGACGTTTAAAATAAGATATAAATATAGATTGATGGTTTGACATTCAAAGAAAAATGGAAGAATAATTGCTTGATTTGATAAAAAAAGAATGTGAGAAATGTATTATACAATATTACTTTCAATTAAATTGATAATGTTAATAGTTAATTATGTATAGATTGAAAGATCAATTAGTTATATAAGAAGTTTTTTTTTTTGGTATATATATAAATGTTAAGTGTTTAGGTGTTGGCTTGCAATCGCTAGCAGTTTATTATTATTTTTTAAAATTCAATAAACCACAGCTTATAAAAAACAATTTTTTCGTACATCTTAAAACAGCTTATTTAAAGAATCTAATACCTCATTTCACTATACATACCAATTTATTTCATTCACAAATATCGTGATTGAAACTCTGACCTTATTTAAAGAATCTAATACCTCATTTACTATATATACCGATTGTTTGCTAAAAACATCAATTATGGAGTATTGTTAGCCAAAATTTCAATACCCAAAAACACAACTGTCATATTCTGATATTTTAAAATAAATAAATTCTCTATTTAGAAAAACTTAAAAAATTTATCGATGGCGATTCTAAAATATTTCAAAACTCTTCAAAGAAAATCTCCAAATTGTTTTAAGTTTTTTCTAACCCGAACGAAAAATGGTGTCCACAGTTTGCTAAATACATCAATTATGGAGTACTGTCAGTAAAACTTTCAAATACCCAAAAATACAACTTTTAAATAATAAAAAAGTAGCTTTGAAATTACGAGTTTCCTCATCCACATGCACAGGGAAATTTACAAACCATAAACTTTATATTATATATATATATGTATTATAATATATTCATTCGTTACGCTTCACAAGGTTAAGTTACTTTTCTAAACATAATATATATAATAATTTAATTCTTAAATATATATATTATTAGTTATTGCCACTTACTTCCAATTCAAAGGAATCAAATAGTTAGTCAGTTGAGATTTGCGGAAGCTCGAATCGACAACCGGAATGGTTGGTCAAGAGGGGTCGAAACAGTTTTTGTGATTAAGGAGTAAGGAGATTGAAAGATCAAGAATTGCACAACGATTTATAGTGGTTCGACTTCTCAACCAAGTCTACATCCACTACCTTTGCTTCTCACCAAGGATTTTCCAACAAATTACTAATTTGTTCTTTCTTTTTCAAGGACAAAGAGATAACCTTTACAACTCCCTAGTTTTTCACGGGTTAAACTAGAACATTTCCCTAGTGTAGACACCAATTTTCTTAAAAGATAGAGCTAGCAAGAGTTCCTCTCCTAAGAGGACTCTTCTACCACCATATCTTTTAAAGCAACAACCACACCAACAAATGTGCAACAACATAGCAAGGAGTCTAGTTGTATTAGGATTCTATTGTTAGTTAGTTTTTTTTTCACTATAAATACATGTAATCCTCCCCATTTGTAACACACGATATACGAAATAAACAGCAGAAATTACTAGCAAATCGGAGCAAAAAACGTGATTCTCGAAGAGGAAAATAAGTAGAAAAGGTAAAAACTTGTACCTTTATCGCTTTAAGTCTTTACATGTTTGTTTCTCCATTATTTTTGCTCGAGTCAAACCCAAATAAAATCATTTTTAGCCGATAAACGGGAAGGTTTTTTAAAGATCTATCTTGTAGATCTAGTAATCCCGAGGCCCGATCTTAGAAAATTATTTGGATTTTTGAAAAATAGAGAAGAAAAGCTTAAAGTTAAAACATTCATTTCGTCCCCCCCTAATGCGCAATATCAACGTTAATTATCTTTCAAATTTAACCCCAAATTTAACTTTTCTTTTATAATAGTCCTTTGTTGTTACATGCATATTTTTTATTATTCTTATTATATATATATATATACATATATATTAATTATCTTCATTTGGCTATTTTTTTTATTTTCTATATTCTATCGTTATTTATATATATATATACTTTTAAATCTTTTTCATATATCATTATTATTTATATATATTTTTATTACTATAATTATATGTTATATATATTTATTATTTTATATATTTCATTTTATCTTTTATTTTTTTATCTTCTATTTTATTTTATTTTTGTATTGTTATTGTTATTATCTTCTTTATTTTATGTATTTTATTTATATATATTTTTTTATATTTGTTTTTGTGCCTCTTTATTTTATTTTATTTATCTTGCTTACATCTTCTTTATCTGTTTTATTTTCTCTACTTTATTGCATTTATTTTTATTTCACTTTCTTTATTTTATTCATTTTTACTACATTTTTATCTAACATGTTTCTTAACTTCCTAAAGGGTACACTTTTAAAACTATCAACGGTAAGTATTTGGGATCGTTATTTTACCTTTCAAGTTAAACTTTCAATTTTCTTAATTAAAGACAATTGAAAATTATATAGTACCGAAATGGCAATTCAAGGGTGTTAACCCTTCCTTGATTGTAACCGACTCCCGAATGCGACACATCTTTCGTACGACACAGATCAGGTAAGAAATAAGGTATCCGATCAACCCATTTTTCATAAAATAAATGATCGGTGGTGACTTCCAACCCAATTATTTCAAGTCGAAGCCCAATTCGGGGCCCAACCAAAAAACGGTTACGACACCTAGCTTTTACACGAGCTTAGCTAGAACCTTTCCCCTTTACAATGGATAAGAAACGTAAACAAGAAAACCTCTTTAAGGTAGGTGTTTACAAGATTGAGCTCACTAGAACAAAATATTTATAAGAGAAATATGAAATAAGAATGAAAAACTCTTCTCTTGTGTTTGATTGCTTGGATAGTTGTTCTCTCTTCTTCAAGTTTCCTTAGCTTGTATTTATAGCTTGGAATGTGTTTGAAATCGTTTCTAGCCGTTGGGGATGTTTTGGAGCCGTTTGGAGATGATTTTTCTACAAAACAATGCTGCCCATAACAAGGGGTATTGGTACCCCTTCATAGGGTATCGGTACACCTTCATAGGGTATCGGTACACCTTCATTAAATTCAAATTATACTAGCCGTTGGAGCCAGGGGTATCGGTACCCAGGGTATGGATACCCATAGGGGTATCTGTACCCTTTTTGCATTTTGTGTTTGAGCAGTCATAGGGGTATGGATACCCAGGCAGGGGGTATCGGTACCCAAGGTATGGATATCCTTTTATAGGGGTATCAGTACCTCTTAGTATTTTTGC